AAAAAAAAAAAAAAAACGATTAAGCATACTTCATTTTGTTAATTTCATTATAAGCTCCAAAAGCTCTATATCAATTTTGGTTCAAATGTTATAGGTATTTGAGTTGTTATTTTTATTATTTTTTGTGGTTTAGAATTTTGATCAATTTTATTATAATTTGAAATAAAATCGAACTACTTTAAACTTTATAAAACAAAGTGACAAAAATTCAATTCAATATTAATTTGGATCCGAAAGGAACTCCCTTTTCTTTCAAGTTTTAGTAAGTGGGATAATATAGTCAAATTCCATCCTTCATTATGTTATTATATCATTTTAGTAATTTATACCTAAAAAGAAAAAAGTTGGTCCAACATCTCTAGTCTGTACAATCAGTTTCGACCCACGTTAGCCATTCAATTATTATCATAATGAAGTTCAAAACCTCAATACAAAAATTGTCCCCACCACCCCGCCTTCTTGTTTCATTTTTCATTTTTTTTTTTTCTAATATATATCAATAAATATATATTGCATATTTTTAATCAATAATCAACATGTATTGGTTCTTATATATACGAAGGCACTTACAAAAGGCATTAAATTACAAGATTTTAATGTTTTTCAATAATCAAATTAAATAACTAGTGTATTTTAAACGAAACCACCGCCGGCGCCGGCACCGGCACCGGCACCTGCACCTGAGAAAAGTCATCAAATGACACAAATTAAATCCAACGCGTACTTACAAAGTTTGCGAATCTATAATTCCATGATTGGAAAAGGAAAGCTCCTTTTTTTATTTTATTTTTATTTTATCTAAACACAATATTGGGTATGTAAATAACAATATATAGAAATATTAGCTTTTAAATTTTCTATTTCTAAAACAAGTATATATTTGCAAAAAAAAAAAGTATATAAAATAATATGACGATCTACAAATTGGAATATAAAGTTGCATTGAATACGAAAAAAGAATGGTTTTTTTTTTTTTCAACCACAATCCCCCTATATTTAATTCTCGAATGCGTTTAGCTTATGTGGCTGCTTCTGGTACTTCGGAATCCTACTTGACGAAGAATCATGCTTCGTAATTAGGTTTAGACAAATAATATTGATATATTAATAATTAATAATCTAGGTTCGAACATTCCATAAATATTATTTAGCTAACTTAGATATTTTAATATCACTTGTACTAATATAACCATTTAATTCCTTGTAATTTCACATAGTGATGCACTAAGTGACTAATATATCCCCGACTTTTGATTTGTTTCCTTCAATTAACTATTGAATTGTAAATGTACTTTAAAAGTTGATAATTTTTGTATTTCTTATCGGTTTTACATATATAATATATCAAATTAATCATCTTTTGATGATCTTCGATTTAATATCCATATTGTATATTGGAATAAATAAATTATATTTATATTTATAATAATAAAAGATAATAATTATATTTATTAAAATTTATTTGAAAAATAAAATTATTTCTCAATTGATATATTTATGTTTAATGTAGTTATATGTTGTAAGTTAAAAAAATTATTATAATATAACACAGATAAGTCACACAAATAAAAAGTGACATACTCAATATATTCATATATATATTTTTATAAAAGGTATTTAAAATTTTCAACTATTTTTTCTCATTAATTTTAGATTTTAAGAAAGAAATTAGCAAACACTCATATAATACACGGGAGTTGTACTAATTTATCTTATCTTATTAAAATTGAAACAACGTTTTTTTTTCCCTAAAGAAAAAAATAATACAGTTTTCTGTTTACTTTAAAATAATAATAATAATAAACAAATTAGAAGTCAAATAAAGCTACTTCTCATTTTTTGAGGATTTGGGTTTATACTTTTACTCCGTAGAACAGTAGAAGCATTACACATACATACGCGTTTTCAAGAGTCTTCATATTTATCTTGTGCTCTGTCACGCTTGAATTTCTCTTTCTTTTTTTTTTTTTTTTTTTTTTTCAGAAATTAATCTATTTTTCCTTGCAATCTGCATCCCTTCTCTTCATTTCCATTGATTCTCTTCTGAGTTCTAACTTTCTGGTTCTGTTTTGTACGTGGCTTTTGACCGAGTCAGCTCAGTGGGTTGAAATTTGTTCATCAGATTTGTTCAATCGAGTACTAGGAGCTTAATTGTTTGCATTTTTATCAAAAAGGAACAATCTTTTTTGCTTGCTGTTGATTTTTTCTGATGAAATGAACGAGGTTTGGAGATCGAAAAGTACTTTGCTGGTGGCAATCTTCTTGGTTTGCAACTTTTGTCTCGTGGGCTTGAGTTTTTGCGGTTCACTCAATGAAGAAGGTATGAGCTTATTATATTCATGGGATTTGTGAAACATTTGAAGAAATCGAAGCTAGTTTTATTTTAATGTTTTTTCCCCTAATATTGGGATTTTAAATTTAAATTTAGGTGTGGCTTTGCTGAGTATTAAACAGAGAATTGTGAGTGATCCTCGTGGGGCTTTGTTAAGTTGGGTTGATGAAGTAGGAGTTGAGAGCCCTTGTTCTTGGTTTGGAGTTGGTTGCTCAGATGGATATGTTGTTTCTTTGTAAGTCTATTTTTCCTCTGAAATGCTGTATATTTTTTCTTTGTATTGTTTTAACTTATAAGTAGTTTGTATGATTATTGTATGTCTATAGATTTTATTTGATTCATAAATGGACTATGTTCACTCTTTTTTTTTTTTTTTTTTTTTATTTTTTGGATGAAAACTATTTAGATGTGAAACAGATAATTGTAGTGTGATATGAGATGGGGAGAATAGAGGATTTTCTGTTTTCTTCAAATATCCTGGATTAATAATTGAAACTTGGGACATAATCTTAAAACAGAGGTTTCATGATCATGAGATAAAAAAAGTAAAATAAAACAAATAAAAAATAAAATCGGTTCACATTGGTCCTTTTCAGCATATAGATCATTTCACCTTTGTATCGTTGAAGAAAATAATATGGCTTAATGCATCTTGTAGTGACATCAAATGATATGATGCGTACTAAATGTTCTACGAATGAGATAGTGTTTGTTTGTTGTTACAAAACATATTATGATAATTTCTTTGCTGAACTCCACAGGAACCTTAAGGATCTCTGTCTGAAAGGTTCACTTGCTCCTCAAATCGGGAAGCTAGTTCACCTCAAGTCCATGTAAGATACACACAATTTGATTAGTTTTTATATAACTCGAATGGTATTTGACTATTGACTCAAACTAACTTCGCCAACGGTTTGCCATAATAATGCCGAAAAAGGAAAAAAAAAAATAACAGAAAAGAAAGACGTGTTTCTATTTCACGAATTTTCCCCTTCGAGGGGTGTTATTTATTGTCTCGAAGGAGGTGATTGTAATGACTAAAGCATGAAGAGGATATTCGTAGTCTTGAAAAAAAATCCATTTGGTTTTTGTATTTTTTTCCCCAATGCTTGAATCCTATGTTTCTTTATGAATTGTGCTCATATCTATATATACCTTTTTTTGTCACGTTTTTCTCATTTATTGTAAAACTGTGAGGCAGAATTTTGCGCAACAACTCATTTTCTGGTGTCATCCCTGAAGAGATTGCAAAATTAGAAGAATTAGAGATTTTAGACCTTGGATATAATAACTTCAGTGGGCATGTTCCACTTCAGCTTGGCAGCAATTTCTCAATGACGATTCTGTAAGTATGAAATAACATTTTAAATTTTTACCTTTCGTAATATTGTAAAAACGTTTCCTTGTCCACTAAGTGGAATTTTATTTATTACCAGCTTGTTGGACAACAATGAATTACTTGTCAGCACATGTCCTGAAATTTACGTACTTCAAAAGCTATCCGAAACTCAAGTCGATGAGGACATTTTATCCAGAACCAATCAGGCATCATCTTGTGATAGCTTATTAATATCAAGGTAAGTTGAGATTTTGGCATATTCATTTATTGTTCGGGTTCATAATAAGCAGATTTTTTCTAGCAAATTTCATATGTTTTTGCGTTCATAGTTACATTATGCCCCAGACCGGTTAATTAAATTGTCTTACTTAGTTGACTATTTCGCTTCATGGTTGCAGAAATGAGCCTCTTAATATAACTCAATCTTGAAAAAAAAAAAAAA